TTTAAAAAAAAAACTCTTGAGTTTTTATATATATAATTCTAAAAGAAAAAAAAAAACTAAAAAGTTCCTAGCTTTGTTGAAATATTTCCACTATGTTTTGAAAGTCATAATTTTATGTCCTTCTAGTCAAAGATTGAAAGCAGGATTTTTTAGGACTAGAAAAATGAATTTTTTTTAATAGAAAGCAGGATTTCAAGGCAAGGTGATGGGCATTAGGGGTGCCAAAATGGTTTTGAAGTTGGGCTCGGGTCCAACTTGAAACTGACCCGCTTATAGATGTTGCAACATGAAGCCGACCCTACTAGGCATGCAAGCTAGAATTTCAAATTAGATCCAACCAATAAGGTTTTCGGGTTGACTCGACTCGATCTGCTAACAGTGGCGGAGCCAGAAACATTTCATAGAGGGGGCCTTTTTTAAAAAAAAAAATCCCTCAACTTTTTCATCCGGGCTTAAGACCGGCATTGAAAGTTTTAAATTTTTTTTATTTAAACAATAAACTACTAAATATAATATGTAGTACACTTATAATTTATACCTTCTGTTCTTCATATTTTGAAAAAGCTGAATAATAACTAACCCATGAGCGGCGAGCCTGTGAGTTGTGCTGCCACCTGCCTACCGTATCAAAGATAGAAGATGTGAGAGGAGGCAAGTCGGACTCCTCGGATGAGAGTTTCCAGCCGCCAGCCAGATCCAAGTGCCAAAACTAAATCAGAAATTAAGGCCGGCAGCCACGGGCGGAGCTAGGTGGAGCTGTGCTGGCCGGACGGCTGGATGAGCGACAGAGCATGGCGGGATGAACTCCGACGTTGACGAGAGGCGTCGAGCGGTTGAGGCGATCTCTCAAAATTTGAAACTCGAATCCAATCTCAAACGGGTTGGTCCAAACATGAAATTCGTGTCAAATTTTTTGGTCTTGTCGAATAGGGGTGTCAATTTAGGTCAATGGGTCAAGTTTGGGTTCAACCCGAGTTGACCCAATCATAAATGAGTTGACCCAAAATTTGAACCATTTAACTAAACGGGTAAAGATTTCATACCCGGACCTGACCCATGCTGGTTACCGTGTTGACCCAACTCGACTTATGAATGCTTTACTTTGCATAGGGCATTAGGGCTTGGGTTGGGTGAACGCAGTGTGTTAGGCCTCATATGAGGTCGGGGTTGGCGGTGAGGTGAGGCCAAAGTCGCTGTTATGGAGAATGCAACCGCTAGGCCAGCTAGCAGTGCGCACAATCACATTATGGGCTTAGTCACGTGCGGTGTTCAGATTCGTGTGCTTGGCCAATGTTATGTGTGTAGGTTGGTAGAGGCGGGTCGACTGTGCGGCGTGTGGTTCGACGGTCCATGGCAATTAGGCATGAGTTAGCCGAGTTAGCTGATAGGATGACAGGGCGGGGGATGAGTGGACGATAGTCAAAGGGCGACATACGACGATCTAGGTCACGAGATAATTGGCTTAGCAGGTTCAAACTCGGGTTTTTTGGGTCAACCTAACCCTGACTTGTTTTTTAAACGGGTAAAAAATCTAAACCTAGACTTGACACGTTTTACATACGGTTTGACCCAAATCTGAATTTACTACAGGAAAATCACCCAAAATCGGTGGTTTTTCCGACGGCTTGTATGGTAACACCAGCGGCTTTCCGGCGGTGCTCACACAGCCTAAAAAAATGGCGTAGGAAACATGTTTCTGGCGGTTTTTTCTGGCAGCTTTATTCGCCGATGATTTTCCGGCGGTGTAATCGCCGGTTATTTCACTACAAGAAAAATGGCCTATACCGGCGGTTTTAACCGGCGGTTTTTTTCGCCGGCGGTTACGCCGTCGGACTCTAACGACGGCCAAATCGACGGCTTAGCTACGATACACCGTCGGTATTACCGACGGTCTCTAAACCGTCGGTACACCGCCGGATATCAACATTAACCGTATCGACGGCTCACCGACGATCCCTTCACCGACGGCTTGCCGGTAGTGGCCGGCAAGCATTAGATCAACCGCCGGCACGCATCGATACATCTCCGGTTAACCGCCGGAAACCTGTAGCACCTGAAAAAAAATTTGACAGCCTCCCCTCTATTTAAGGGAGGTTCACCCTAGATTCTAAACCTACACATAAAGCAATATATAACAACAAATTTTGGGCTACACACTACTATATTCAATCAACTATCACAAATATATACATAAGAACAACCAAACAAAATATTAAATGAAAACAAAGTTAATATGTTCAACCATCAAACATAAGATCACAAGTTTAGAAGTTCACAAATTCACAAGTTCACAATAAACATAAAAAAGTTCTACTCCTCAGCTGTATCCTCGCTGTCTCGAGATGTTCGTCGCTGCTCTTGCTCTTGCTTCCTCTGATTTTCAATTATGTAGGATTGCAGCTCTGCTT